TTGCTTCTCCCTGCCTGAAAGCATGTTTTTTATTTAATTATCTCTCCTTTCACAGGTGCTGGCCATTAGTATTCCTTGCCCTTGACTCAGGAAGTCCCAGACCTTGTTAAGTAGACAAATTCTTGTGGATTGCCTCCTGGGCCCTGTGATAGTCCTGGAGCCTTCCTTTATTGGCATAAGTTTTCGGAACGGATATCCTGGATTGCTTTCCAAATTCTAAATTACTAATGTCTTCCTATTAACTTCATCTAGCTCTTTATTTTCTAATAAATTACTGGCTTTACTTGGAATATGTTGATTAGGTTCCTTGTGTGACTTCTCTAAGCATGTTTTGTACCATATTACCATTCCTAGCATAGTATTCTCTAATTTTACACAAGTCTAATGGTAGAAAAATAATCATGGCCTTCAGATGATAAAAGATAGATAGTGCATATTCAAAGGCCATGGTTACTATTAAATATTTTTATATCTCCAAGTAGAATACCAAAAGTTGACAAAAATATGAAAGGAAGTTGTCAAAATCTCTTATCTTGATGGCAGATAATACTTTTACCTTGCTATATAAAGGATATCAAAAGATCAGTAATGATAAAAGAGATTTAAATAGCACAGTTAACAAGCTTGACCTAATGGCCACATGTACAACATGGTACCCACAATGGAGAACACTTTTTATTTCCACATACTCATGGAAGAGTTAAAGACCCACATAAACACATACACACACACATGCATATAGGCCTACATATTTTGGAATATATAAAAACTAGTTTCAGTTATTTCAGGAGATGAGTATCTTGCAAGTTCTATTATTTAACCCAATGTAATAAGCATAGGACTTACTTGGAAAAAGTAAAACTTCATTTATAAACTCTAGAAACACGCCTGTAAACAGCTAAATAATAACAAAAATAATAATTTGTGGGACACTGTACTTAAAGTGGTTAAGGGAAATTTATAACCTGAAATGCTTACAATGCTAAGCTTGAATGCTTAGAACAAAAGAAAGGCTTAAAATTAATGAGCCATGCTTTCAAGTTAAAAATGTAAAACAACAGCAGAATTAACGCGGATAAATTATGGTGAAATAAAAAAGCAGAGTTTAATGAAATAGAAAACAAGCATGTAACAGAGGAGATCATCAAAGTCAAGCAATAGTACTTTGAAAAGAATAATAAGACAAACCTATGTCAAAGTTAAAAATGGAAAAAATATTAGGAATGAAAATATGTAACTATAGATGCAAAAGAGGAGATATTTTACAACTTTGTGCAAAATCTTTTGAAAAACTTAGATGAAATAACTTTTTCTAGTAATATATCAAAATCGGTTCAAATAGAAAATTGGAGTAGTTTTATAACTATAACCAGTGAAGAAATAGAATCAGTAGCAAATATCTTCCCACAAAGAAACATTGGACCCAAACAGCTTAATGGGTAAACTCCAAGAACAGATAATTCTCATTTTTTTTTTTTTTTACAGAATCTTCCAGATAATAAAAATGTGGCACTGTTCAACTCATCAAAAAGTCTAGCATAACAAAAACAGGACAATGCAAGGATATATACAAGAAAAAGAAAAGGAAATCTGCAGGCTAGTCTCAATCATGAATATTGATACAAAATGCCAAACTACAGCATTCTAAATCTGTTTGTTTTTTTTTTTAAGGAAATAGGTTTATCTTTGAAAAGCAAGAAAATGTTGAACCACCACAATTACTAATCATCTCAGTAGGTACAGGAAAAATTTTAATAGAGCATTCATTTCTGGATTACAGATAGGTAGGATCTATGATCTATATCTGATATATATGATATCTATGATATATCTATGACCATCCATAAAATGTACCTGCATCTGTGATAGAAAATCCAGGACATAACTGATATACCATAATATATATCACATATCTGATATATGAGTATAAAACACATACTCTGATTTATTTGTGGGTATCTAATGAACTAGGAAGAGAATTTCCTTTACCCATGAAAGACCAACTATAAGATACCTGGAGCAGTGATCACCTCTAGAGGTAAAATGCTAAAAATATTCCCTTTAAAAAGAAATTTAAGGGTGCCTGGGTGACTCAGATGGTTAAGCGTCTGCCTTCGGTTCAGGTCATGATCCCAGCGTCCTGGGATCGAGTCCCGCATCGGGCTCCCTGCTCCTTGGGAGCCTGCTTCTCCCTCTGCCTCTCTCTCTCTCTCTGTCTCTCATGAAAAAATAAATAAAATCTTTAAAAAAAAAGAAATTTAAGACAATTATTAATATAGAACCCAGAATCCTAGCTACTCTGGTGGTAGTGTGGGCTTGGGATGAGAGGAAGATGTGACCAGGGTAGGGCACAAAGAGGACTCTTCTGATATACTGGTATATTCTCCCTCTTAATCTGAGTGGTGGGAATGCTGATTTTTATTCTTTAAACTGTATCTCATTTTTGGACACTTAATATACGATTTACATAATAAAATGTTTTTAGTGAGTAGATGAGAGATGTCTAGTGAATAAAGATTTAGAGATGTAAGGGTGGAAAACCTTTCCTTTCTTCTAGTTTCTTTGGCTGGTCTAATAATTGACATAAGGCAGATTAACAGGAGAAAAACAAATTTAATTTGTATGTAAATGAAATATGAGACTCAAAGAAGTGACCAAGAGGGCAGCTTTTATATTTCTTAGACAAACAATAAATTTTTGAAGAATTGACAGAGAAATTTGAGCTCTGGGGATGGTAAGTTAGTAAGGAAGTAATGAGGTTTGTTTATACAGTCTCCTTGGCCCTAAATTCCCTGTTTCTGGTAATAAGGATATTTTCTACTACGGGTGACTGGAGAAGGTATCTTTCATGTGGGAGACGTATTTCCTGCTTTCAGGGGCACAATGGAGGAGTCAGAGTATCCTTGTTGCACTTAAGTAACTTTAATTCAAGATAATGTGCCAAAATGGCATATACGGGAGTGGCCTGTCCTGAGCCCTCGAAGAATAGTTGTTGAAGATGTGTGTTTATGAAGGATCTGAGGTAAAAGGCAGTTTTCTGGGAGTTCCCAGGATCATGAGTGAGCACAATTCTTTACATATGCATTGTTGTTTATTTGTCTTATTCTAACAGAATTGGCAGCGCCTTTCCCTTCACGTATCATCCTTGTGCAGGGCCATGCTAATCTTGTCTGTATTGTTCCAATTTTAATATATGTGCTGCCAAAGCGAGCACGCATTTCCCTTCACGTAAAGTGGCAGGGAGATGGGGTTAAAAGATGAAACTCATCAAGTCCCCCAGTGATGGTTAACATGGTTGTCAGTCTATTTCTCTTTGGAGAACGGCATATTGCTATAGATGGGGAATTACAAACAATCGTATAGAACAGGATAAGTACTTTTGGGGGATTTTGACATTAGAGGAAAAAAATAACAAATTTTTATGAGGAGAATTAATTTAAAAGATGAACAAATTCTATATAAACCTGTTAGGCTGTGTCTACATGGCTACTACAAATCTTTGATTTCAATTGTAAAGAAAATGTCTCGAAGGATTAGTTTTCCACATTTAATCACATGACACCAAATAAAGACGAGTATGTCCTGGGAATCTACTCCAGAATTGTCATCTGGATGGCCTTGACCACTCAAGGCTGAAGATCCCACACACAAAATTGAGAATGTTTCTCCCTTATTTTGGTTCTGAATCCCTTTTCATTTTTAGTCTTAGTTGAGCTCTACTTTATCTCAGGCCATCTTAATTCTATGAAATGGCAAAAATTCTTTGCTAACCCCTTTCTAGAAGTCTAAAATAAAAATTAAGCTGCTTTTCCATCCTAATTGAATCTGTCCTTTCCCTCTGGCATATGACTTTAATTTCGGAGAACAAATGGCGTCTGGATACGAGTTTCCGCGGTCACTGAAGTGGTCTCTGCTTTACTGTACACATATTACGGTGTTATCATTGCTGTGGTTGCAGAGGAAGACGTCACAGTTATTCAATTTTTATTAGACTTTCCTCCATTTTTTTGTATTTCCCAAGCTTTCTGAATATGGTTTATAAAACAAAGTTCAGATAATGCCTTTAAAAGGGTAAATTTGTTTTTTTAAAACAATATAAGAAAACCTGTATTTTTATATGGCGATTTACTTGTAGCGGGGATCCTTATTTTGTTTAATCTCACTTTTGTGTGTTTTTCTCAATGGCATTTTCTTCCTGCTTTGCTGCATCTCGTGTCTGTGATCTCAGAGTTATGAGAAATACTGATAAGATTTTTTAATACCAGGTGTGTGCCAGTTGAGTTTGTAAATACGCTAGGATGAATTGGTGTGTGGTAAAGCTGAGATGCCACTAATTAAAAGATAAGCCAAGAAAAATGTTATTTTGTTATGATGATTTGAAAAGCCAGATGTCGACAGACTTACTCCATTCCTAGGAGAGTGTGTTGGGAAATAAACTGCAAAACGTTCATATTTTTACAGTGCTTATTTCTTTCCTTTTGATAGGAGCTTTTAAAAATCATATAAAGTAATAGACTTGAGATAATTACCTCCGCTTTTTAAAATATAAAATATCTGGTAAAGACTTTCCAAGAAGTGATAGGGTAAAGTCTTCAGCATGCAAAAAAAGTTTTCCGTGAAACTGTCTTTTATATAAAGAAACTTTTAGCGATTTCTCTTTAGGCATCCATAAGAATGGGGTTATAATTTGTATTTGAATAGATAATAGATTTCAGTGACTACATATATAATGCTTTACCTTAACCTAAATTCTCATTGCACACTGTCTTTTATACTCTAATGTGCTAATTTTTGGAACAGCTTTGGAATTATTATAAGCTGTAAAACTTATTATTTTTCTTCTTGATTGTGCCATCTGTCAGAAACAAAAGCAAAGATAAAAATCTCATTGAGCCACAAAAGATTCTGTATTGGCTTAATGGGCCTTCTAAGGAGATAACATCTGTCTGGAAAAAAATTAATGCTGCATTTTAAAGAAAATCTTTGTGACTTTATTGCAGATGGGGAACTCAAGGTGATTTCACCACCACCCATCCTCGGCCTGTGGTCAAAGTAAAACTCTTCACGGAAAGCACTGGGGTCCTGGCCCTTGAAGATAAAGAACTGGGAAGGGTGAGTTGTACTCAGCCCTGTATGTTCAAGGTCACACATTTTTACTTCTTTCGATTCACAGTTAAAGTAGACCAGTATGTAGCGTGTGAACTTTCTGTTCATAAACTACGTAAAATAATTTATTTGTAATTTTCCACAGTCCCAGATTACAGCTCCAGTTTTTTAAACATAATTGTCAATGACTTAGAAAGTAGTGTGATGGGCTTTGGGTATGTAAAGGTTGCATATATAAGATAATAGGGACCCGTTTTTCTTACACATGTACTGCTCAGTGGATCTGAATGGTACAGGCAAACTTGTCCTTCTTGGTGAGAAGTAATTCTCGTTTAAACATTTCTGTCCATGAGTTAAAAGCATCTTGATATTTGAAGTCATCTGTTTAGGTCCATTATGATTAGACTGATTAGAATATCTAAGGCTACTTCTCTCTTACCTCTCCTGCTTTCCCTGTGAGAAGCTCTTTTTCACACATCTTTTAACATTGAATTTTTTATCCTGTACTCACCTCATACCTGGAATATATTTATCCTCTAATGCTAGTGTCTCTCCACTATACTCATCCTCTTTTGGCAGTTAAAAGCATTAAGATTCAGGTAGATTTGTGATCTTAACACCTCTCTGTCTGAAAGATTATCTGCAGTCTGATTTATAAAGTAGATGGGCTTCAGTGAGTAGGCTATAAAGTTATCTTCTGTAACATGGATCTCTCTTACCCAGACCTGAAGACTGAATTGATAGGTATTTTCCAGAGATTAAAGCCTTTCAAAATCTTCCTTGAAAATTTCTGGTGATGATTGACCGCTTGTGTGGTGCTAGATTTTGAAGGATACTGGGATCACTGGGTATATTGGAATTTTTTTTCTCCGAAGTTGTGATTTCTATTCATTTCAAATCCTTCTCTTCTGTCCCCTTTAGAGTTTTTCCATTTCTAGGGATTTTGTGAATCTGTACCCACACTCCAGAAATTGAGAGTCAGCAGTCACATTCCCAATTTCGTCCTCTGTTTCCTTATTAAATGTATTCGTTAAGACTTACGAGCTAAGCCATACCATTCATTCATGTGCTTACGTATTTGTGCACTGATTCATTCAACAAAAGTGTGGAGGTAGCATAATCTCACTGAAGAGCCCTGGAGATTACATTTGGTTTTACGGATTGATGAATCAGTACTTGTCATTTAAACTATTATTACGTTAATTACCCTATTTGCTTTATAACTATTTTGTACTGTCTAAAAGCAGCCATTTTAAGTCTAAAGCTATAATGTAATTCTTTAGATATTTTTAATTCATTTCTCCACTGGCCATATATATATCTGAGCAGGTTTTATTTTTTTTAATATTTATTTATTTGACAGAGAGAGAGACAGAGAGGGAACACAAGCAGGGGGAGTGGGAGAGGGAGAAGCAGGCTTCCCGCCGAGCAGGGAGCCCGATGCAGGGCTCCATCCCAGGACGCTGGGATCGTGACCCGAGCAGGAGGCAGACGCTTAACGACTGAGCCACCCAGGCGCCCCTAAGCAGGTTTTAAATTGGGTATGTAAGTGGTATGTCTTCCTGTCAATTGTAGGTCTGAGAAAGGCCTCATACTCCTTTGCTCCCTTCATATAAGACCACTTTTCTTTCTGTACAAGAGTTTCTGAACCCCAGCACTATTGATATTTTGAGTAGGAAAATGCTTTGTTGTTAGGAGCTTTTCTGAACGCTTTAGTTAGCAGCATCCGTAGCCTCTGTCAGATGCCAGTAGTTCACCCAGTCTAAATCAAGATGATAAAAATGTCTCCAGACATTGCTGAATGGAGCTGTGCAACATCATCCTACTTAGAGATCCGTTGAACTATACTGATGATCTGAGTAGGTTCCGTGATTGTAATGATGATTTATGTGTTAATGACTTCCAGTTGTTTTTTTTTTTTTAATTTTATTTATTTATTTGAGAGAGAGAGAATGAGAGAGAGCACATGAGAGGGGGGAGGGTCGGAGGGAGAAGCAGACTCCCTGCAGAGCAGGGAGCCCGATGCGGGACTCGATCCCGGGACTCCAGGATCATGACCTGAGCCGAAGGCAGTCGCTTAACCAACTGAGCCACCCAGGCGCCCGACTTCCAGTTTTTTATTTTTCTTTCTTGGAGCTTCGAATTGCATATCCAGCCTGCATACTTGGTATTTCTAGTTGCATTTAATGGTTATCTCAAACTAAATATTTCTAAAATAGAACTTAATGATTAGCACCCCCATAAAGTCTTTCAGAGAGGCAGTTTTCAAGCCAGTGACCTTGATACATAATACTGCTATCTATTTGCAAGTTCTGTCAGCTTTCCCTAAATTTATTCCGAATATATCCACATCTTAGTATCTCCTCTGCCCTAATTCAGGACACCATCCTTCCTTGCTGGTGATAGTTTGCTTTACTACTTTGCCATTTATCATCTTGTCCCCTCTGATCTAGCTTTCACACTTCAGCCAGTATGATCTATTTAAAATTCAAAACAAATCACATCATTCCGCCCTTAAAATCTTCCCGTGTCTTCTCTTTTATTTGGAATAAAAATCAGACTCCTCATCATAGTGTAGCATGCCCAAGAATGGTTCTCAGGGTGGGACCCTGGATCAGCAACATCAGCAGCATCTGGAAAATCGTTAGAAATGCAGATTCTCAGGCCTGGCTGGACCAGAAACTCTGAAGGTGGTGTGCTGTGGTCTGTTTAACGAGGCCTCCTGGCAAGTTCCACACACACCAACATTGAAGTACCCTGCTATAAATGAACTGACCTCTTCCTCTAATTTCATCTCCTGTTACAGCCACCTTGCTTACTATCATCCTTCCTTCGTACTCGGCTTTCTTTCCGTTCCTCAAACATACCTGACTCATTCCTGCTTTGAACTTTGAATCTTTAGATGGGTTATAGTCTGAGCCCGTGGATGTATACACTGGTGTGCAGAAGACGCTGGTGATCCTCTCTGGGTCACGGAGCTACTAGTAATGTTTGCTGTGTATTTATCTACTTTTATACTGAGAAGCAGGAATAGGTTGTTTTTTGTTTTTTGTTTTTTAATTTGAAGGAAAAGGGCTTACATGATCTGAAATTTACAGTCTAAACTTTTATAAATAGATACCTGGAGATCTTAGTGTTTTTTTTTTTTTTTTTAAGATTTTATTTATTTGACAGAGAGAGACATAGCGAGAGAGGGAACACAAGTAGGGGGAGGGGGAGAGGGAGAAGCAGGCTTCCCGCCGAGCAGGGAGCCCGACGTGGGGCTCGATCCCAGGACCCTTAGATCATGACCTGAGCTGAAGGCAGACGCCTAACGACTGAGCCACCCAGGCGCCCCTGGAGATCTTAGTGTTAAAGTGAAGTTTTCTAATTAAAATTTTGCGTAGCAGTTGAATTCAAAGATGAGCAACACAGTCTGTAAAATAGATTTATACCACAAGGAGATACCACCGCTGTACAGCTGATAAAATGGCTAAGGTACAAGAAAGCTGATAATAACAAATGTTGACAAAGATGCAGAACAACAGAAGCTTAATCTCTGCTGGTAGAAATGCAAAACTAAACAGCCACTTTGGGAATACAATTTGCCAGGTTTTTTTTTTTTTTAAGTGAAACATAGACATGCCATATCACCCAGCAGTTTCCCTCTTAGGTATTTACACAAGGGTTTATTAGTAAATATATGGGAATTTTTATAACAGCTTTATTCATAATCACTAAAAACTGGAGGAGTAAGAGGTCCTTCAGTAGAGGAATGGATAAACTGTGGTACATCCATAATAAACTTAACTCATGCAACAACATAGATGAAACTTAAATGCAAGGAAAGAAATCAGACCACTCACCCCATCTAATCCTCTTTAAGAATGGTAGTAACATTTCATGGTGAGACAGACAAGTGAGAATCCGATTAAGACCACTCAGCAAGTGCAAGAGTCAGTATTTGAACTTGGGTGGTCTGACCCCAAAACCTATGTTCTAAATCATTAAATAGTACACCTGATAAAATGAAGAAATTTGGCAGTATTTAACAAATTATGGTATGAGTGCGGGCCAATTTAATTTCATGGCTTAATGCAAGAACGAGATATTATTTAAGCTAATGTCATTTTATGCATAGTTCTTTAATACATTTTATATCATTTTATGCCATGGGTTTGCTTCTTATTACAGTACTCTCTGGCTGCGCTTTTATATGTGACAGTGATTCTCAACCCTGTGTGTGCATAAGAACCTCCTTAGGGAGTGCATCACGTGAGCCCACGCTTTTCTTTTGGTTGGTTTGGGGTGAGTCCAGACAGTATTTTAAGCACTTCTCAGGAGATAGTATGTGCATATAAGGTTGAGAAGCACTGGTGCAAAAAGTATCACTGGGCAACCAGGGTTGAGAACTAGTAAGTCCTAGGGATAAGAAAAAATCTATAGGGGCGCCTGGGTGGCTCAGTTGGTTGAGCGACTGCCTTCGGCTCAGGTCATGATCCTGGAGTCCCAGGATCGAGTCCCGCATCGGGCTCCCTGCTTGGCAGGGAGTCTGCTTCTCCCTCTGACCCTCCCCCCTCTCATGTACTCTCTCTCTCTCTCTCTCTCTCTCAAATAAATAAATAAATCTTTTTTTAAAAAAGAAAAATCTATTCTAGCATATAGTTTTGCAAAATGATAGTTCAAATTTAAGTAGGCATTGGGCAGTTGAAGGTTAGGTTCTTTGGCAAGTGCTTGTAATGCAGATTTTGTTTGTAGATGGCAGGTGCAAATACCTATTTATGGAAATGGAGGTGGCATATGGAGATTTTTCATCTGAATTGGTGGCCAACCCTCCACCCGGTGCCTTAGGGGATACCTGGAGGCAAAAATAGCAAATTTTTCATATTATGGGCTTGTCCTAGCAGGCAAATAGTTGACCAGTCAAGCACCCAAAAGTATATAGTTCATCAATGATACTGTAATAGTGCTGGATGGTGACAGATGGTAACTATGCTTGTGGTGAGCACAGCATGAGGTATCAACTT